TCCGCGTGGATTTTTTTCTAGTAAACTTTTCTTTAGATTCAAAGATCTAGCAGTTAAATGCTTAAAAATAAATAAAAACATAACTAGAATACCGTTATTTAAAAGTCCCCGTGTGGCCTAAATATTTTTTTAAGTGGCGACACGGATTTTCGATGCACATTGTACAATGTGTTATTCATAATGTTTAACCTTTCGTTGTCCCTACGTGTCTCCCACAAGGTAAAGCCATTGTATCAAAAGAGCTTTTATCTATTACAAGTGCAAAGCAAAACAGTTTTTGTAGCCTGGAATTAGAGCACGTAATCGTTTATTATACTGTGAGCGGTTAGGTCGTTATGAATGCTGGATTTTTTTGCTTGTGCCCCACGTGGCGCATCATGTGTTGGGACCATCGCACATACAGCGGGAGACAGGGGATAACAGAATTTAGTCGAAATATGGATATTTGAAACACTTGATTGTTTATTTTTGGAGTTTACTCCTTTAGAATCGATTTGCATATATAAGGGGCCCGGTATGAGAAAAATGTGAGGAGTAAAATCTATCGATGAATGACCTCGTTACGTTTTTGGTGCGCATCATATGTCGCGCAACTTTGACAAACAAAGATGACGGATTGACATTAATATTTTTTTTTAAATCTGAACTGAATTTAGATATTGTTTCTGATAGAGCAATGGGGACAACGAGGTATAGTACAACCATTGATACGGTATTTTCAAGATTCGTGAACCACGTATCTACGAACGTCCATGTGTCTTATTTTAGTTACCATAAACCACTTGTCACTGTAATTAATAATGTAGACAATGTTGATTTAATTAATATTTAAAAAAATGATAATAGTCTGATAATAATAATTACATAATTTATCAACATTCCTAATGATATATTTATGCACATCTGAAATTGACTATTGTAAAAAGTTTAATGTAAAATATTCCGTCGATTAGTTGTAATAAATGTATATGAAATGAATAAATATGTATTTATATATGTATATTATTTTCGTTAATTTGTTAATTTACCCTTTCATACAGTATCAATCTTTTTTAAGTTAAATAAACTCTTTTTGCGTCTGGTTAGACTATCGAACTTAAGGAGTAAACTCCAGTCGTGCGTCGGAGCTGACACACACAATTTTTTTTTATTGTTATTTGACATTTCTCTTCAGTGAATGAGAACACAAAAATGAAATATTTTTTAATTACTTTATATAACAAGTAGTAAGTGAATTGCCTCGCTCCGATTTGGTGCAGGATATAAAAAAACCGCTTGAAAATCCGTTTAGAAGAGATTGAGATCATAGTGAACACACGAACAGACAGACGTGGTGGAAGACTTAGTCTTATAAAATTGTACTTATAATGTCAGGTTCAATTTGCAAAATAAAGGTTGTTGTCTTGAAACGACAGGGACAATGAAAAAAGTTAAAACTTCACCAATTATATTACCCGTTCAAAAAGTCTTTAAGTAAACAAAAAATGTAGAATAAATAAAATTATTTGTTTCTTAGGTTTTCACGCACATCACTCATTAAATAAAACTAGTTTTTAACGGGTTAATGCATGAAACTTTATTTATTTATTTATTGACATTTCGCAGCCTTTTCAGGTCTGCTTCGTCAGAATACTGATTTTTTATTTTATAAAAAAACTAGCGACCCGCCCTCGCTTCGCTTCGGTGTAGAGCTGAAGTGTAGACTACAGTCTTTGTTCTCAGGCTTGTATTATACACAATGACATTGACAATGACAATCTTTCATTCCCTATTTTATCGCTATTGATCAAAATCCTTTCTTAGCGGATGCCTACGTCATAACATCTACCTGCATGCCAAATTTCAGCCCGATCCGTCCAGTGGTTTGGGCTGTGTGTTGATAGATCACTATGTCAGTCAGTCACCCTTCGCTTTGTGGCTTACCTATAATGCGAAGAGATGGCGCTGCCTTGCAGCTTAAGAATGGCTAGAGGAATTTCGACGCGGTCCGTGAGGGCCGCGGTAGCATAATTGGTCAGTGCATTCACCCGGATTGCGAAGGGTGCGGGTTCAAGTCCCGTCTGCTGCCTGGTCCGCGTGGATTTTTTTTCTAGTTATATATTCTTTAGATATAATTATGTCTATGGAACATATTAACTTACTGTCTTATACTATTACATATCAGGAAGCTTACATGACCCGTCGTCTAGTCTGGTGGCTTTTTTTTGATGGAAAATATTGTAAGTAACCTTAAATGTTAACTGATTGCCGGGCGAAATACCTCGGCTCACCGGGAAACCTTCAAGAGGCAGTCACCAATGTGAAGGCCCTGGGGGCGTTCCTGGCGGAGCTGGGCTGGCTGGAGTGATTCCGGCCATACACCCTCCTCACGCAAAACAGGCGCCATAAGGACGTCGAGTTGCGGAAACGCTGAAGCAAGAAGAAGAAGAAGAAGAAGAAGAAGACGAAGAAGAAGAAGAACTGATTGCTTCAATAATTTTATAGCTATTCCGTGCAGATAAATAAAAAATAATTTCGAATGTTCTTCTTCATCGTCGTTTCCTAGACAAGACGCAAAATTCCGGGACAATTCCGGACATCCCGGCCATCTGGCAAGTCTAATTGCGAGCGAAACATCTTAGCGTTAATTCGTAAGGCAAGAAATATGGGCTGACTTTTTGGCGGGATCGGAAAGCGTCACTTTAACAGTTTTGTTTTTCTTGTTAAAAATTGTGTTGTGGCGGATGTTAGTGTCTAATAATGGTGGGTTATTAACCACTAAGTGTTGGGGAACATGCACAAGTGTTGGCAAGTGAAACAAAATAGCGGAAAATGTCTTTCGACGTTCCCTCAAGAAGTCCACGGGGAGGTTCCAGTAAATCTCCACACATTTACTGAAACATAGGGAAAGGGGGATTGACTTGACTGCCACTTACTTTGACTTGATTTATTACTTTGACCACGAGTGTTATAGAATTTGTAAACATTTTAACACTTGACATTGGCTAAATGCACAAGACGTGCGAAGCCATTTAGAGAAAACAAAAAAAAAGTATGGGCTCTTGAAAATCTGACAAATGACAGTAAAGGTAAACTACACAGGAAAGATCTAATGCATCATTTAGTCCAATTTAAAAGTAAAAATAGAAACCAAAATCAGAATTGAAAATCTTCCAAAATTACTTCATCAATTATTTTACTTCTTATTACAATGGTACAGTGCTTGTTAGAGTAATTATTACACACCGTATTGTAATTACAATGGATTTCACAGCGGTTTGACCAGAATATAACTTTATTACGTAATTTTGAATAACAAACGAGTGTACGGTTCTCATGCGGCGTGTCACATGCGTCGCACGTTTCAGAACTGAAACCTCCCTCGCATTGAAGCACCCCCGCCGAGGGAACCGATGAAAAAATACGACAAGCGAAACACCACCTTATTACCCTTGTCTTAAGCTACGACGTTTTAGATGCCCGAAAAAAAACATTTTTGTATCCCAAAGGGTCACTTTGTATTTTACAATTTGGAGGTCGTTGACCCAGTTAGGTACCTCTTCAAATCCTTGATCGCACGCGGTGTTTGTATTGAATAATCAAATTTTATGAGAATAAGTGAAATGCGTCACACACGTCTGTCAAAAGCCCCGTCCGTAGTAAAATTCTGAAATAACTGAGGACGTAGATTTTCACACAAAAAAAAAATAAGAAATTTTGGGGGTTCCCCAACTTAAAACTGAAACTCAAAAATAAAATTATCAGACTCATACGTGTGGGGTATCTATAGATAGGTCTTCAAAAATGATAAGAATAAGAGGCTGATAAAACGAAACAAAAATATATGATGTACATTACTGTACAAAATTTCATCGAAAATTGGTTTGAATAAGTTTTTTAATACGTCATAAATCACAAATAAATTAAAAAAAAAATACACTATTATAAAAACATCCATTACAACGAACTACAAGAACTTTTATATTATATAACTTGCTGCTACGGAACCTTTTATGGGCGAGTCCGATTCGCACTTGGCCGCTTTTTTAGTTCTCGTTACATACTTTGTGGCGCTGCTGTTCAAGTTTCCATACAAAATTTAACTTTTTTTTTTATTTAACAACACACACCAATTAGCCTAGCCCCAAAGTAAGCACTATAAGGCTTGTGTAATGGGATACTAGGGTAACGGATAGAATACACATACTTTACATATATAAGTATATTTATATAGAAATACATATTTAAACATCCATGACTGGAGTACAAATGCTCGTGTTCATATATATATCGTATTATATATCGTATATATATATGTACTGACAATATTTAATGTGCGAGCAACAAATATCCGCACACCGTGTGCGTTGAGTACGTAACAGACCTACATTAATACTCTTGTCTTGCTGTATTTTTTGCAAAGGCTAGTTGAATTATGTCACTTTTACATTACAATAGGGTATTTGACAGTATTAAAAATAAAGTGCCAATTGCTGGCATCTGTGTTTAGAATGAATATTGGCAGGGGTTTTTACTATTTTTACAAAAAAATATTCATAATTTCACTAAAAACACACGAAAAAGATAATAGTTTCTTATCTATTGTCACGTGACCCAAAACACTTGGGATTGGCGGAGCCTAAAATGACGTCACACGCAAGTAAACTTCCGGTTGAAGTGACATTACATTGTATCACACACTAGTAAGACGCCATATTGTTCAGAGAAACGTTTTCGCGGCAACTTGATAATGGAGTTTTTGATTTGGTTATTTTTACTAAAATACACAACAGAATGATGAATATCCATTTTTTACGGACCCCATAAACATTAGTCAATAACGTGAGATCGTTTTCTAAAACTTGTCAAATACCCAATTATATTATTATTATGTAGGGTATGTATTTTAATGAATGATTCATTTGTTTTTCTAGCAATTGATTTATATTTGCGTACTGATTATGGAGATATGTGACAAACTACCTACAGCCTTAAAATGTAATTCTACGATTAAAGAAACAGATAAATTATATCATATGAGTTGATTCTGAAAAAATCTTCTGCGTATCAATTTCATTGACATTATCAATAAAACGTTTATCTCATATAAGATTAATAGATTTTAAGCGAAATCTCTATGTCAGTCAGTATTGAAAATTGAAGTGTATCAGCATCATGCGCCCTTACATAAGTGTATTTTGTGTTATACTCTGTGCTATTCTGGATGACGTTTTCACGAGGGTATTACCACCAGAATATCCTACAGTCGAGACCGTTTCAGGACTGGTGGTTGGGTCCGTAGCAAGAGATGGAGACTATTATGAATATCTTGGTATACCTTACGCGGATTCCACATCAGGCAGTCACAGATTCAAGGTAATACTAATCTTCCATTCTTACTAGATAGTAAGTTAAGGTAATGAGAACTTTAAGGACTTACAATTATAGGTAACATACACACTATGAATCATTATTAAAAACAATTCCATTTTGGATGTTACGATTTTGTTAAATCTATTGACATTCAAGGAATTCTTTGTTGTTTATTGATATATCGTTTTTCAGGCCCCAGTTCCACCACCACACTTTACTGAACCGTTTATTGCAAGCCGAAGGGATATAAAATGTGTAAGAGCTATAGGAGCTGGTTACGAAGGAACAGAAGATTGCTTGGTAGTCAATGTTTATACACCTACTCTAGATGACACAAAAGAACTACCTGTCATGGTTTGGATAAAAGGACGTGAATTTGATCAGACCCACGACCAAGAATTGTCTTTTAAGCAATTCGTAGAAAAAGATATCGTTGTAGTAACTTTGAACTACCGTGAATCGATATTAGGTTTTTTGTGTCTTGGTACAGAAACAGCTCCTGGTAATGCTGGACTTAAAGATATCATAGCTGGCTTGAGATGGGTTAAGGAAAACATTGCTGCATTCGGAGGCAATCCGGACGATGTTACTCTTTTTGGTCATGGCACTGGTGCTGCAGCTGTAGATTTAGTAACAATTTCACCAATGGCAGAAGGTCTTGTAAATAAAGCTATTTTACAAAGTGGAAACGCACTGGCTCCATGGGCTGTTAGTCGAGACAACTTACATTATGCAGTAAAAGTCGCAGAAGCACTTGGACATATTTTCACAGATGTTGAGGATCTTTCATTACTTTTTTCAAGGACTAGTGTCCCTGCATTAATGGCCGTCATAAATGAACTTGATTTGACAGACAACTCGTTAGCATTTTCACCTTGCATGGAAAGAGAAGATTTAGAAACCCCCTTTATGATAAAATCTCCGTTTGAAATAATTAGTAAAGGAGAATTCTTGCAAATTCCTATCATAACTGGTTTTGTTGATAATGAAGGCACTATTAGATCAGAAGAATTAATAGAATCCAGCTGGTTGCATAAAATGGCAAATAGTTTTACTGATTTCTTACAATCAGACTTGAAATTTGAATCAAATGAAGAACGAGAAGAAGTTGCTCATAATATAAAAACATTTTATTTTGACGACGAAGAGATTAACATGCACAATATTAATGAATATATTGCATATCACGGAGACACCATGATCTTAGTTTCATCGATAAGGGAATCACGCCTTCGTGCTACATCTTCCACTGCTCCCATATATCTTTACCAATTTTCTTACAAAGGGTCATTGGGAGAATCATTTGAGGGTCCCATACCAGTAGAGAGTGCAGGTCACAGTGAAGAACTAGGGTATCTGTTTCCAGAGCTGCAGACTACAGACTATATTTCTGAAATGGATCTAACAGTAGCTGATATCCTTGTAGAAAGATGGACAAACTTTGCGAAGGATGGGTAATTTAATTAGATTTCTTTTATCGTTTTCCTTATTTTGTACAAAGTTACTACGTTTAATAAATTATTTCAGCATTCCCACAAGCGAGAGTTCTCAGATAGAATGGTTGCCATTTACTGCTGAAAATCCCCACTATCTAAGAGTCCTCAATCGCGATGAAATAAGTGAGAGTGCTGGTACTTTAGAAGTAGACCTTATTAATCCTCACATTGAAAAGGTAAACTTTTGGAACAGTATCTACGAAGATCACTTTTTGGATGCAGAATCTAAATGGGAAATCACAACAGATGCTGGTGATGACTATGATGAATTAATTTTCAATCAAGGTAATATTTATTCATTCTTACAATTTTAGAAGCAATGTAATGAGAGAAACGTATTCCATTTATCAATTAAACTACCGCTAAAACTAAAAAGTAAAGATTAATAAACATTTTTTTACTTCACTTCTTTTTCTAGTTCATAAACTTATGTTAGTATACCTACTCAGTTTTGAGTCAGCGCCAAACAATTATTTAACAAAGATCACTGAATTACCTTAAGTTCAAAAAAATAACCAAAACAAGTTTATTGATTGCTGGATATTTAACTAAACGTTAACATTCCAAAAGAGGCGCTGACTCAAAATTATACTAACTACATTTTTAAGAACTTAGTTATTAAGGTTAAAAAAAGGTTTCATACTTATTCTTTGCTTTTCAGTTTTTTCGCCGGTTTCATTTTTGTGTTAATTTCTTTTATTTCACATTTTGCTGTTGCTAAAATTTTGTAATACACACTCAACTCTGCATGAAAACATGTAGCTGAAATATCACCCCTATATACCCTTAGGATCCTAGTTTCTTTTTTCAATTTTATCTGAGATCAACTTCAAGATATACCCTATCCAATAAAAAAAATCGGCCTACTCTGTAAAAAGTTATGCGTGTTCATACATTACAATCAATGAGTGAACAATCAATCATCCCCTGTTATCGTGCACTAATCTGAAACTAGGCTACCATAAATCTTAAAGAATAAAAAATATAAGTTTTAATTAAAATATTTCATAACATATTTATCAAAAACAAACTATAATGATAATAAAAGTAAGTTTCAAAGCTGGTCCTTAAGAATCAGATTCTTAGTAAGACGTTTACAAAAACCATTTTCTGAAAGGTAAAGAGACTCCACGCAATGAAGACGACAATGATGTAGGAGTAAGCCGCACAGAAGATAATGGTGAAGAAAATAACGAAAATGACAATGCACATGAAGAAAAAGAGGGTGACAATGAAGATGAAGATATCGAGGATGATAATGAAGGTGAAGATAATGAAGACGGCAACGGTGAGGGAGAAGATGAGGACGATAATGGGGAGGAAGAAGATGAGAATGACAACAATGAAGGAGAAGATGAGGATGATAATGGTGAGGAAGAAGATGAGGACAACAATGGGGAGGAAGAAGATGAGGATGACAACGGTGAAGGAGAAGATGAGGAGGATAATGGTGAGGAAGAAGACGAGGATGACAACGGTGAGGAAGAAGATGAGGACAACAATGGGGAGGAAGAAGATGAGGATGACAACGGTGAGGAAGAAGATGAGGATGACAACGATGAAGATGAAGATGAGGACGACAACGGTGAGGAAGAAGATGAGGACGAGAATGGGGAGGAAGAAGATGAGGATGACAACGATGAGGATGAAGATGAGGACGACAACGGTGAGGAAGAAGATGAGGATGACAACGATGAAGATGAAGATGAGGACGACAACGGTGAGGAAGAAGATGGGGATGACAACAATGAGGATAAAGATGAGGACGACAACGGTGAGGATGAAGATGAGGATGACAACGGTGAGGAAGAAGATGAGGATGACAACGATGAAGATGAAGATGAGGACGACAACGGTGAGGAAGAAGATGAAGACGAAAATGGGGAGGAAGAAGATGAGGACGAGAATGGGGAGGAAGAAGATGAGGATGACAACGATGAGGATGAAGATGAGGACGACAACGGTGAGGAAGAAGATGAAGACGAAAATGGGGAGGAAGAAGATGAGGACGAGAATGGGGAGGAAGAAGATGAGGATGACAACGATGAGGATGAAGATGAGGACGACAACGGTGAGGAAGAAGATGAGGACAACAATGGGGAGGAAGAAGACGAGGATGACAACGGTGAAGGAGAAGATGAGGATGATAATGGTGAGGAAGAAGATGGGGATGACAATGATGAGGATGAAGATGAGGATGACAACGGTGAGGAAGAAGATGAGGATGACAACGGTGAGGAAGAAGATGAGGATGACAACGATGAAGATGAAGATGAGGACGACAACGGTGAGGAAGAAGATGAAGACGAGAATGGGGAGGAAGAAGATGAGGATGACAACGATGAGGATGAAGATGAGGACGACAACGGTGAGGAAGAAGATGAGGATGACAACGATGAAGATGAAGATGAGAACGACAACGGTGAGGAAGAAGATGAAGACGAGAATGGGGAGGAAGAAGATGAGGATGACAACGATGAGGATGAAGATGAGGACGACAATGGCGAGGATGAAGATGAGGATGACAATGGTGATGACAACGGTGATGACCACGATTCTGCTGCTAACGTTGTTTCATATACGTTTTCAATTATATTTTTTTTCACCATTTTAGAAAAGATACACTCGATCGTAATGCTATCGTAGCACATAAACATAATTATCTAGTTAATAATTTAGGAACTTTCAGAGACTTTAGTAAATATTAAGGACAAAATTATCTTGCCTAGATTTTAAAATTAAATCTTGTACAAGGTAATGTAATGTATAGCTAAGCCGAATGTCTAATTAAGATGCCTTAATTAGAAGCATTGATTAATTTAAAATATTAAATTCGTAATTTTCAACACAATTGAAAATATGTCTTAATTTTAAATTATATGTACTTATATCAAGTATGTTTTTATTTATTTTTAAGTATTTAACTGCTAGATGTTTAAATCTAAAGAAAATTTTACTAGAAAAAAAATCCACGCGGTTTTTTTTTTCTAGTAAACTTTTCTTTATATATCAAATAATTTATAAAGTTTCGCATAATATTTGATGAGTTTTGCATACAATTTGAACAAGTGGTCGATTGTGCGGAAATATGTGATAGTGCGAGGGTTGAACAGAATTAATTAGGTCTTAGTTAGTATATAGTGCCAATAAAATGTTTTATTTTTTGTATATTTGACTTATTTTACTATCTTCAACCCGCGGTTCTCTTTGTGTGTTCATAGACAAGAAGTACAGTACTCCAGCAGTGGAGCCGTTAATAGACCAATCATAACTAAGCACGACCTTCTATATTTTTTATTACACTAAATCATGCTGCTGAAATATACGTATTAACATACAGTAGTTTTGCTAATCTTTTTTTAACAATTTAAACTAGTCCTAGGATTTAACAGAAACATGATTAATGGCTAATCGGACATATTTTTAATATTCCTATCTAATTACTCATCAATAACTCTACTCGCCATTTGTAAGACGATTTTTTAATTAAATTTATTTACACTCATGCTTTGAAACCTCTATTAAAGGTTCTGAAACAGTTAGCTTATTACCAATGTTAAAACATCCAATGTCATAATAACACTCTTTAGCTTTTTTAAATCCCTTACGCGTAAGGGATTTAAAAAAGCTAAAGAGTGCGCCAAGGGCTTGCTCATCAGACAGCCACAATTGTCACTGCTCGATGAGTATTAAGTATCTAAGTACCTTCTATTAAATTTTCATCTTATCCTACTATTTGCAAAACTGCGTTTTGTGTTTTCTTATCTACTTTTGAAGTTATCAGCTATTCCATTTTATTTTTCTCTTTAGCGCACATTGTATAGGCTATCCACCTGATATTGCGCCGGTTATTTTGTTTGTAAATTATAAATTAATTGTAATTTTTTACTCACTTCATGTCATACTCAATATTGTAAAATAATATTAGTGAATAAATCTAAAAAAATATCTGTAACTGTACTCAATATAAAGAATGCATTTAGCTAGCATAGCAGAGATGGCTCTAAGACAATATAAAAAATATACACTCGAGAGCAATGAATCCGGGTCACATAAATAATAGTTTTTTTATCTTATCGTTTTATGTCTTTCGCTAGTTAAAGAGCCGTTTTTTATGAACACCAGTTCTGTGCGACTCTTAGAAGAAATTCCGGCCCACACAAGTACAGACCCACCAACGTAGGCTACTTTTTCTTCGATGAATGCTTGCTTGAATCTTTCCCCAGGTCATCTATATACTCTGTGCCTTTCATCGTGCTTGTAGAGCATAAATTTTGATTCGTCGAAGAACATAACTTTTGAATTATCATCAATAGTCCAATTTGAATGGTTCTGGGCATATCTTAGTCTTGAAATACGATGCCCTCGCTCTAGTTTAGGGCCGTTTGCACGTGTAAGTGGTTTAAAGCTAGCATCAACAAGTCGTAGTCTTACTGTCCATGCGCTTGGGTTACTTCCTCCGAGGCGTCGAAATTGATTTGTAATTTCAGTTTCTAGGTCGGTCATTGGATGGGTGACCAAAAATTACTATCTCGAGCTCCTCCGTGCTTCGGAAGGCACGTTAAGCCGTTGGTCCCGGCTGCATCTGCAGTCGTTAGCACCCACCAATCCGCACTGGGCCCGCGTGGTGGGTCATGGCCCAATCTCCCTATTCCATCCATAGGGAAGGCTTGTGCCCCAGCAGTGGGGACATTAATAGGCTGATGATGATGATGATGATGATGTGGAAGCGATTTCGAAGCATGGTATTCACCAAGTATCGATCTTCTCGTGCTGTGGTACACCTGTTTCTGCCTGTTCCTGGTCTGCGTAGGTTAGAGCCAGTTTCCTCGTAATGTCGGTGAACTCTTTGTACTGTTGACAGCGACACACCGACAGTCCTGGCTGTATCGCGCTGACTCCTGTCGGTATCCAGCATTGTGAGAATTCTGGTGCATTCTTCAGGTGTAAATGACATAAATGCAGCTTGAATAAATAATATTGAACACTATTGACATGGTTTATATGAATGATAAATGACAGATTAGAATCAAAAACAAAAATCTAATTCAGTAATTTCGTAGTTCCATCTTCGAAAGTCTCTCTTTTTCAAATTTGATTTTTTATGATATAAATTTACAATAACTAAGAAGTTTTAATACCTTCAATTAAGGAGTATTTAAATGTTTATTAATTCGAATTTATTTCATTAAGGCATTCTTAGTTTGTGAGATTTTTAGGCTTCTTTAAGTGAACCGGATTCATTGCTATCGAGTGTATTAACTTGAAGTAAAAGCATTTTTAAGTTAATCAAAAGCAAACTAAAATTATAATAAAAGTCACGAAGCTGGTTCTTAAGAGACAGATTTTTTAGACGACATTTACAAAGAAATTTTTCTACAAATTTTAAGGATTCCCACGCAATGGAACAGAGGGTGGTGAAGAAGGAAGCGGTGAAGAAGAAGGCGGTGAAGAAGGAAGCGGTGAAGAAGGAAGCGGTGAAGAAGGAAGCGGCGAAGAAGGTAGTGGTGATGAAGATGAAGAATGTGATGAAGACACCGATGGTGACTGTGATTCTGCTGCTACCGCTGCTGCATATACATTTTCAATTATATTTTTATTCGCCATTTTAGATAAAATACATTCGATCGTAGTACTATCGTAGTTATAAGATTATGCTAGTAAGTAATTTAAGAACTCCCTGAGACGGCAGTAAAAAATAATTACTAAATTATCTTGTACAGATTTTGCAATTAAATCTTATACAAGTAATATGTATTGTATTGCTTCGTCAAATCTCTAATTAAGATACCTTAATTAGAAGCATTTCATAATAAAGATATATAAGATATTATTTTTTATAAACTTATTTTGAGGTAGTGGTGTCCTATTTAGATTTTATATTAACATATATATTTTTAGTTTCACATAATTATCCAAAAAGTACTCACATCAATTGTGTGACAACATGAGGCAGTGCTGCAGTGCATGAGGCTTTCCTAAACGTAAATCCATTTGGCGTTGGCTGAACACAAATTAATAAAGTATTAGTTAATGTAAATTAACAATAAAAGTGATTTTGTGGTGTTTATACATACCTTGTTTTCTTTACCTAAAACATTGTTTAATTCTAAAAATGGCACATGGGATAAAAAAGCACTGATCTTTAAGTTATAATGGTGCTTTGCTTACTATTAAGATTGATTGGTATTTTTTATAAAAACAATATTGTTAAATAACGTACAGGTGGATAGTTTCTGCAAAGGTTTGTGCAATATCATAATGAGTGATTCTTGGTAAACAAAATCTGATATGAATTTACCAAAGTAGGCACTTTTTGATTCGTCGGTTCTTCTTAAGTTACTCTGTTCTTAGAGATGGGAGACTGTGTGCCCCAGCATTGAGTACCTCAATAAATCGATGATGGTAACCGTCCATTTTACATTATGGTTTATCTAAAGTACTTTTTGTCAATTGTCACGCTCAAATCACGTTTTATATTCACCATACTTTAATTAACCTATAACATGAAATTCAAAATGCTGAAATATCCGTATTAATAAAAGCTAAGTAACTCTGCAAAGCCTGTTTTCACAGTCTTAGGTAGTGGAAAAGCATTATGCAAAACTGTTCTATTTCTGCTCATGTGACATTATACAGAGAATACATAATAAGTATACACACGTACATACATAGGTGCATACCTGCTATGTAAGGCCCTTCCGACCTTATATAGCTCCGCGACCCCTGTGTGAACTTTGCATTGAGTTGCACGCAACGCAACGTTGATTATGCACGAGTAAGTTATGGCACAACGGGGTTTTCATAGCTATACTTTTTTAATTCACAAGGCAATCTGTTAACTACCCCGATAATTTCTAGACGGATGACATGGAAACTCGATAGCGTAAAAGAGCTTGATGGTGCAGAGGACGCCGTTGCGAATTTTAAATCTTTTTCGCGGTGGTTTGATCATCGTGTTGCTGAGATTTTGCATCCTTCTTCACAGCATTACCTTAGGTCAAAGAAATAGGGATAAAGTTAATAAAAGTATATATCCATTGAAATAGGTTTCGTTCGTGTCCTCTACTTCGCAATAAGTGGAGAAAGATGTTCCCAATGTATTTTAGATCACCCATTTGATTAGTGGTCGCTAAATAAAATCGCTTGATCTGAGCAACAGGCAGACTAGACGCAACACGATTTATAACTTCACATCAAATTTAATAAAACAATCAATGTACAAAAAAGTGCATGTAGGTAGGTAACTCAAATCAGCCACGTGCACAATAGTTATTTTGAGACTTGGGTTCCTCCAGTTTGTTAGGCGGAGGGCAAACTTATGCGCGGCGATCGTAAAAAGTGCAGGCGCACAGATTGGCAGGCTGCGCTTAATGTGTCGTGGCGGCGGTGCTGCAGCTGTACGCACTTAATTACAACCAGCACTTGTTTCATGCGCTAAATTTAATATTATTATGCTGTTGTAAACTTCAGAAAAGGGACTATTTGAATGATCCTCATAAAAGTAATAAATGATCTCCTGAAAATGCAATAGGGGTGATGACGGGGTATAGTAAACGAAATTCTATTTAGTCCGTCAGTCAGATGATCAGAAAATAATGGACACGTATTTTTTCTTTGGGCAATCAACCAAAAAATGACAAAGTTATAGCGCGTCAAAGTTTGGGAGTAGGGGCTCGTGACGTCACTTTTAAGTGAGAATTGTACAAAAACGTGACGTCATGCGACTTTTCAAATCAATATATGTCTGCAATGTTTATATTATGTGAAAAAAGAAAAAATACGTGTCCAATACTTTTTGATAATCTACCTGATAAACGAAGAAAATAAAATAGTCATCATCCCTATTGTTGTTCATGTTTGGGACAAACAAACGTTGTGTGCTGTGGTGAAATTCACAACTCTTAAGGCTTCAATAGTCAAGGATCAGATATGAGCACAGAGGATATTTCCCCATTAACAGCCATAATCTTATTTCCAATTTTATTAAAACGGTTATTTCCCTGTCAATTTATGTAGGTATTAATTCATATTTTTTTTCAATTAAACTTTAAACTTCTATATTCTATATAATGAAACTAATATTACCTATATATATATGTATAGGTAATATTAGTTTCATTATACTTCTTACATATGTTCAAATGAGTTACTAAAATATTTGAAATTAGATTTCTGCCCGCTGTTGTTTTGTTATTGTAATAATTACAACGGCAACGAGTATATCAAGTTTTTAATCGATTGTGACTCTTATATCAGGTAACATAAAGTTTAATAATCTGGCGGAGGAATTGGCCAATTTTGGATAACTTGACCACTTGTACATTGTACAATAAGGTGCACTCGTTCGGGTTACACAGAACGCACGTGCTAGCCACCTCGATTTTTTAAATTACCAATAATACGGAAGAAATCCTAGTGTGGATGTGACATTAATTTCATTTGACTACAGCCAGAAAATTAACAAGTACATTCATTGGGATCAATGTTATAATATAAATTGTAATTAATTGACAAGTAAAAAAATGACATTGTAATTAATATATTTAACATTTATTGTACGTAAGAATAATATAAATTGTAATTGACTAGTAAAAAAATATGACATTTTAAATATAACGTGACATTGAATTGACTAAGCTTTGAATGACATCTAAATGAATTGACATTGTAATTAATATATTTGACATGTAATTGGCTATTAATAATAATTGAATTTAAATTGAATTATAACTAACTACAAAAAATTGACGATGGGTAGGCTTAAAACCAGCTACGCTGTGCCCACTCCTTTTTCCAACTCATATTTGATACTCACATTGAATAATAATAATAATGTAGTAATAAGGTATGGAAATAAAGCGCTTGTATTTGTTATAAAACGCAAAATGTCACATTTGACATGATCAAAGGAAATAAAAGTACTTAGGTAGGTGTCAGATTAGATACAATTTATCATAACATTGACGTTAGTGTATCTAAGTTATTCCGGTTGATAAGGATATTCAAGAATTTCATCTGAGTACTTTGGCAAATTTGAATACAAACAAAAGAGACGTATTTACTCGATGGGTTTATCATAGTGTTTATTTATTTTATTTATTTAATAGGTGTACTTAACAAAGTAAACATATAAAAACATTAAAAAATTAAAATAATACTTATTCTAAGACATATATGCAAGCCTTTACAAACACACACAACATTCAATTGAGAAAAGTACAATGTAATTAATAATCAATAATAATAAATGGAATTAATAATCAATACAAAATAGTGCAATTAATAATCAATGTTTGATTTAAAATTAATAATGTATGTCAAATTGATGCAAAAAATAATAATGTAATGTCAAATTGATACAAAAAATAATAATAATAACTATAATAATGCGGAATTAATGAGAATCGAGCAGCTCAAACAATGTTGCTTTAAAGTTTTACTGCGAAACGTCAAAAAGTAGTGTTGAATCATTTTGAATAGATTTTATGTGCCTCATTTGGAAATGAGCACGACATAGTTTCTAAATTGCTTGGTTATTATATCTGTAAGAATTTTTTAAAGAAAATTTCAACCAAGCCCATCCATCAGCCTTTAAGTTTACTAATATTTCAAATACAATAACGTTTATTCAGTCTAATTGTTATAAGCACTTGTGAATGTCGAAAAGCTACGTCATTAGTTTGAAAATCTACGGCAGGAGACCTTGTACCGAGAAGAACCGGCAAGAAATTCAGATAGGCCTGTATTTTTTCTCACTTTATTATATACAGGGTCGTCAAATTGAAATTCAATATCTGATAACTCATGAAGTCACTTTCCATTCCAAATGTAAATGATATAAAAAATATGAATATTACTAATATCACTCCTAATGAGGGCGTAAAGTCGGAAATATAGAAATTATAAGTTTATAGAAATGAGATTAATATTTGAGTGTGTACACCGTGTGATGACAGGTTCGAATCAAATCAGGAATATTCAATTACCTTCAGAAATTAATATAAATGAATCATCATCAATGAGTCATGACCCACCACGCGAATTGGTAGATGCTAACGACTGCACGTGTAGCGAGCTTAACGTGCCTTCTAAAGCACGAAACAGCTTAAGATAATAACTTTTCGGTCACCAATGACCGACCAGTGCGAAAGTTGATTAACTACCACGATCGTAGGCCGAACGTTCTATCCATCTGCGCCATCGAGTTTCTACAAAAAAAATCTTTCTATAATATTTTTTAAGTATAACTAAAATTATTTATCATTAAGAATTCTCAATATTTACAATTTAATTGTATGCAGTAATATAAATTATTATAATGATATCTGTGTTAGTGCCATGAAAGTTAGTAGTGTAGAATAATTATCTCTCATTCCTTTTTATTTTTGTGGTAGAGCCCCCTAAATAAAAAAAAAAATCCTGTAGTCGATTCAAAACATATACTAAATAAAATAACTGAAGAAACTATATAAAAAAACAATACTTACTGAATTATTAGTAAAAATAAAAGGCAAGGAGACCTCGAACTGATGATAAGACACTATGTAGTTCACGCTGATAATATATCTTAGCATGATTCATTTGAAATCCCCACAGCTCTTATTTGATGTTAAAATATAATACACTATTGGACCATTGTGAGTGACATTTTAGGTAGGTACCTCAAAGATATCAATATTGCAGCTTTTCTTAGATATTAAATATATAACAAGAGACCCACCTATAATTTGTGGCGGCGACATCTATATGCCCCACATATATACAACGGATGGAGGAAATCATTACTCACCATCCTCAAGAGATGGCGTTACCTGCACTGCGATCATAATAGTATGGAAGCCTACATCGCGCAAATGAAATTCGGAAGCTGTCTCTTCATATAATACGATGCCCGACCAACATCAGTCGGGCCGCGGCCCCCGAGCTAACATCACCCAGCTCGGAGGAAGAACTTCCCCTTTGGCCTATCTACAAATTTTTTACGCTAATTCCTAACGAAACCAAACGGTCAGAATTTCATAATTTCCACGGTAAAGTTAGTAGTTGGCACATTTAACGTAAGG